AAAGAGGAAGACCCACAACATGATGGACTGACATAGTGGTAGCAACAATAGGCTCACACGTAGCCACAACTGTGAGGGTGTTCAGGACGGGACAATGCTTCATTCTGTGGTGCATAGAGTCACTGCGAGTCAGAGCTGATCGACAGCTGCTAAGGACAGCACAATACTTGCAGCAGTATTTTGACAGAGAGCTACCAGAATTCAAGCAGGATGCCGAAGAGGACATGGTACCAAGGAGATCAGTGCTGACGTCAGATGCATGTTGGTTGAAAGCAGAGAAGACCAGAAAGATGTTTACCTCTGTTTTATTGATTATGCAAGAGCAATCAACTATGTAGATCATAACGAACTATGGATGACATTGCAAAAACATGGAAATTTCAGAACGCGTCATGGTGCTCATGTGGAACCTGTACGTAGATCAAGAAACAGTTGTTTGAACAGAACAAGGGGTTAGTGAGTGGTCTAACATCAGGAAAGGTGTGAGTCAGTGTTGTATTCTTTCATGAGAATTATTCAGTTTATACACTGAGCCAATAATCAGAGAAGCTGAACTGTATAAGGAGGAATGAGACATCAGGGTTGGAGGAAGGCTCATTGACGTCCTATGCTATGCAGATGACATAACCTTGCTTGCTGGAAGTGAAGAAGGCTTGACACACTTATTGATGAAGATTAAAAAAAAAATGACCACCTCCAGAATGGATTACACCTCAGTGTAATGAAGACGAAATTCCTCACAATGGAAACAGTAAACAATTTTATAGTAAGTGGAGAAAAGACTGAAGTTATCATTTTATATGAATCAAGAATCAATGCTCATGGAAGCAGCAATCATGAAATCAAACAATGTATTTCATTGAGCAAATCTGCTGCAAAAGATCTTTTTAAAGTGTCATAGATCGAAGATTTCACTTTGAAGACTGAGGTGTGTTTGACCCAAGTCATGATATTTTCAATTGCCTCATATGCATGTGAAAACTGGACAATGAATAAGGAAGACTGAAGAAAAACTGATGATTTGAAGTATGCTGTTGGTGAAGAATATTGAAATTCCCATAGGCTGCCAGAATTACCAGAAAAAACAAATCTTCCTTGGAAGAAGTATAGCCAGAATGTTCCTTCAAAGCGATGGGTGGTGAGACTTCATCTCAGGTACTTTGGACATGTCGTCAGGAGTGACCAGTCCCAAGAGAAGGGCATCAGACTCAGTGCAAAAAAAATGGGCCACCAGCCATTGTGTCCACAGCCCTCCACTCAGCTGGCTCAGAAAATTCATTGCAATGGCCACACACAACTCAGATGTAATACTCACAGTTTTGGGGTTCATTAGGGAAATTGTTGTTGTTGTTAAGTGCTGTTGAGTTGGTTGTGACTCATAGTGACCCTGTATAGTGTTTCTGAGGCACAGCTTAAGAGCTTGAACCCCAACCTGGCAGTTCAAACCAAGCTTGCAGTGCAGCGCATTAACCCACAGAGAACAGGTTACAATTTAGGGTCAGAAATGGTCAGGTAATAGCTCTTTCAGTCAGGTCACTCTGTCCTCTGCCATGTCCACAGGCAGACCTCTCTCTGATCCTTGCTTTCTTGGTCTGGTCCCTGCCCTGCTCCAGGAATGTTAGGAAGGTCTCTTAGGACAGTTGACGATGCCCACAGGACACAGCACGTCACCAGAAGCCTCAGTCTGCAGACACTCTGCTCTGGACCTTTGGGTCTACAAGACTTGTTGGTACTAGGTGCTAGGTGTCATTGAGTCAGTTCCAACTCATGGCGACCTTTATCTATGTATACCAGAATGAAACACTGCCTGGTCCCCTCCAGCCTCACAATGTTTATTACATTTGATCCCATTGTTACTGCCATCGTTTCAATTCATCTCATTAAAGGGTTTCCTCATCCTCCATTTTACAAAGCATGATGTCCTTCTCCATGGACTGGTTCCTCCTAAAACTTGATATCAAAAGTGTGAGAGATGAAGTCTTGCCCTCCTGGCTCCTAAGGCTCATTCTGGCTGCATTTCTTTCAACACAGATTTGTTTGATCATCTGGCAATTCTTCTCCAACACCCTAATTCAGGAAACCTAGCTCTCCAAACCTGGAGGCACCCCACTCTTCAGACAAGCTTCCTGCCCAAAGTCTCTCAGCTTTACTTGCTCCATGGGCTGAGAAGTCCACTGCTCTGTCTTGTGCTCTGGATCTTGGTTCTATTGCGACTGTTCCTCTGCCACTTCTCTGGGGTCACGCCTTTCTGTCCCTGAGTCAAGGAGGTCCAATGCCCAGGATCTGAGAGTCCTAAGGATGTCCACCATTCCTCGCTGGTTTTCTTTGATAGCAGTGAGATTCCTATTTCAAAGATGACTCATTTAATACAGATTAGAGTTGTAGATCTTTACAGTGACAGTTAAATTTGTTAACGACTCACAGTGGAGCCATGTCATCCTATCAGTATCTTCTCTCACCATCTCTTACCCAGATCCAGAAGGGCAGAATGTTGTTTTGTGGGAGGTACAGACTATGGCTAGAAGAGACATTACAGACTTCCCTAAAACACACTTGGTTAAGTGAGGGACAGTGAAAACGAGGAAGACCAGCGAAGGGAAGGATTGACACAATGGCTGCAAAACTGGGGTCAAACAACACAACAGTTGTGAGGGTGCCACAGGACCAAGCAGTGTTGTATCCTGTTGTAGATAGGGTTCCTGTGAGTCATAACCAACTCATGACACCTAACAACATCCACAACCATAGCAACAACAAGGCTTGAATTTAATATTTTTCTTTAGTTTACTCTATAGTTTTATTTGCAGTCAACACATTCCTCTACTTGTACTTAAGGCCTTTACATTATCTTCAGGTCTCATTGCATTTCCAGTAATATGTCTATTACCTATAATCAAAGTGACATTTCAAATGCACAATTTGTAAAGTATATCAGTTGGGTTTAACTAATTTAACAACAAAACAAATGTCAGTATTATTTTCTTCTAAGCAAAAGGAAAAACCCCCCAAAACAACACACAAAATCTTGCTTATGCATTTAGCCACAATGTAACTTGGTCAGAGTATTTACTTTACGTTTTTTTTTATTGGAAGAAATCTTTGCAACTGCACAAAAATGTCACTTGATTCTTCTTTTGAAATTATACTCGTGTATATAAAGTTCTGTATAGAAAGATTTTATTAAAAGTATCAAGAAATTCCTCTTTGTAATGCTATCCTTCCTTTTGAGATCTGGTCATTGAATGAATAACCATTAATATTAAAGTCATGCATTGTCTCGTTTTCCTCCAGTCTCCTAAAGATCAGCTTGCCCCATGGTCCTTCTAGCCTCTATGCAATTCCATTTTCATGAATCTTATTCATCCTATGACTATGATGGTTTGGTTCCTGCGAACATTCTGTTGTAGAACTACTTTCATATCTCTATGTTCTCAACACAGCCCTTGAGACACTTTTTTGAAAGCCTATACTTTATAGAAAGTGAGTTTTGCAAATTTGTCCAGATTCTGTGAAAGACTGTCTTCAAAGCCCAAAACGGAAAAGTTAGATGGATTTCATGCAGGCGGTAAACAGAGCAAAATGTGTTGAAAATCAAAAAAAATTTTAGCTCAAATTTAGAGCCTTGTAAAGTAGGGTGAATCAGCACCTGAGGCTTCTCCCTTAATGTTGATGAAGGAGAGGTTGGCGCTGTCACCTCCAGAGGACCAGTATTGAGGACCAGTGACTGAGTCTGGAGAAGCAAAGGTAAAAACTGTCATTCTCTGTGCCCGCTCAGAGCGCAGACTCTCACAGGCTGAGCTAGGGTATCGTGTTGAGGGGCACTTCCTCTCTGAGGCTCATCTCACAGGAGAAAAGAAACCCACATACAATAAACACCATTCTATTCTAGAAGGTTCCGGAAGGCACTCACAATGAGTTGATTAAGGGCAAAGGCTCCAGGCGCTGGAAACTGTGAAGAAGCATTATGTAAAAAACTAGTTAGTCAAATAAGTTTGGAAAACACTAACTTAGAAATTTAAATACAATTCTTCTTTATCAAAGGATTTTTCAGCTAGCATGAATTGGAGCCCTAAAATGTGGTGTCTCTTCTTGTTGTTGTTGTTAGGGGCTTTCAAGTCAATTCCAACTCATGGCAACCAATGGAAAACAGAAGGAAAATCGGCCTAGCCGGCACCATCCTTACAATTGTTATTGTTGCAGCCATTGTGTCAACCCATCTTGGTGAGGGTCTTCCTCTTTTAGGTGACCTTCTACTTTTCCAAGCATGATGTCCTTCTGCAGGGACTGGTCCCTCCTGCTAACATGTCCAAAGGATGTGAGACAAAGTCTTACCATTTTCACTTGTAAGGCTATTGTGGCCACACTTCTTCCAAGACGGATTTGTTCATTCTTTTGGAGGTCCATGATGCATTCAATATTTTTCACCAACATCATCATTCAAACACATCAGTTCTTCTTTGGTCTTTTTTCTTCATTGTCCAGCATTCACATGTATGCCAAGCTATGGGCCAAGCACACTTTAGTCCTTAAAGTGACATCTTTGCTTTTTAACACTTTAAAGAGGTCATTTTTCAGTGTGGCATCTGGTATGCAGTAATTCTTTAACTGATATGACTACAGAATTTGTTTTAAATGAATTTTGCTTGAGGGACCAGTGTTTTGAAGAGAACATTTTGGGACCTTAGATTGGACATAACTTGTTTAGTATCTTATAAAGAGGGTGTTTCAGGTCCCTGGTTCCCAAATTCTGGTCCAAACGGCACCACAGTTGTTACTGATAATACTTAAAGGTGCAGATTTCTAGACTATCAATAAGGGGGTGGGGCATGGGATCGAAAAGGCTGTGGAACCGGAGGAGATATTGTTTCTTCTCCTTTGGGTTCCAATGGTGGGACCAGAGATATCCCTAGTTTTAATAAGTGTCCCAGGTTAATTCTGATGTTGGATTGGGTTTGGAATCATTGAAGATAAGAGCTTCATAGATCAATTTCAAATATACTCTAGCATCTTTTCACAAAGGTCTCTTTCCCTAGCACCCTCTTCAGGGCAACTTTGACTTCTTTGTTCCTCAGACTGTAGATCAGAGGGTTGAGCATGGGGTTGAAAAGACTGTGGAACAGGAGGAGATATTTCTTCTGCTCCTTGGGATTCCCATATCTGGGTCCGACATACATGATAATGGCCGTGCCATAAAAGAGTCCAACCACACAGAGGTGGGAGGAGCAGGTGGAGAAGGCTTTCTGGCGCCCCTCCCCAGACTGGATCCTTAGGATGGCACATAGAATATGAATGTAGGATATCACAATGGAGGAGAAGGGCCCCACCAGCACAGACATGGCCCCAGCCAACACCATGATCTCGTTAATGTGGGTGTCTGCACAGGCAAGTTTCAGAACAGCTATGATTTCACAGAAAAAGTGATCAACCCTCTGAGGTCCACAGAAGGGCAGTGGTAGAAGTAATGTTAGGTGTATCAGGGCCATGAGGACTCCTATGGTCCAGGAGGTCACTGCCAGCGTGATGCAGAGCCTCCAGCTCATGATGGCGGAGTACCGGAGGGGGTGGCAGATGGCCACGTAGCGATCGTATGACATCACCACCAGGAGAAGACATTCTGCGTTGGCAAAAGTTAAAAAGAGGAAGGTCTGTGTGATGCAGCCAGCAAAGGAGATGGGTGTGGTGGGGCTCAGGAGGTTCACCAGCATCTGGGGCACTGTGTTGCAGGCATAGGACATGTCAACGACCGCCAGGTGGGAGAGGAAGAAGTACATGGGGGTGTGCAGTCTGGGGTCCAGACAGATGAGCCCCAGGATGGTGCCATTCCCCAGAAGGGTGAAGGTGTAGAGCAGGAAGAAGATCCCAAAGAGGAGCAGCTGGATCCTGGAGCTGAGAGGAAACCCCAGGAGAATGAACTCTGTGATGGATGTTATATTGCCCTCCATTATTCCTACGGAAGAGGACATTGAGTTAATGTTCAAGGTTTAAGAGAAGTGTCTAAGAACGGACTTAGGTTTATTTTGTTTAGTATTTTCTTGTGCATGAAGCAGGAAGTGTTTAGAAACACCTGCAGTGAATTTGATGTATTTTTTCATTTAAGAAGACTTGATAACCTTAAAAACAATGAAAACACATACAAGGGTCAGTCAGAAAGCATTGCTCCTTGGGTTCCAATTTGTACAACACTGTTTACTCCCAACAGCACTGCTAAACAGGTCTCTGTAGCCGCTGGGTAGCTGCAGATGTGTACTGTTGGGAATACACTCATTTTAGTCACATTAGAGTGGCTTCCCCCAAGTCCAATAAAAACAGTGCCTTCTTAGGGGATCTGCTGGCCCACTTCAAGGCAAGGCAGAGAAGTCAGTTCAGAAGGCTTCGGTGACTATTTTGGGAGATTCTAAAGGGTCATCTAGATTTTCTCAAAAGACACATGAAGCTCACTGGGACTTAGGAAGTTTTAAGGAAATTTAAAATTTAAAGTATTGATGAGGAAAAGGTCAAGAAATTTGTACCAAGAAATGTTTTCCATCATGACAGGGTGCCCACTCAATCTTCGCGGACAGCAAAGACTCTTCTACAAGAATGTCTCTGGGAAACTTTACCCAAGCCACCCTACAGCCCTCATTTTACCCCTTCAGAGTTTGTTTTTGTTCCCATAAACACAAAACACATATAAAAAACATGATTTGAGTCCCGCTAGGATTCCAAAACTGCTGTTTTGGAGAGGTCACCGTCAAAGAGCTCAGAAATCTTCAGGGAAGGTTTAAGAGATGGAAACATCACCTTCGAAAGTGTATAGACCCAGAGGAAGGATATGTTGAGAAACAATAACTATATATTTATATTTTTGTTTAATCAACATTTTTATGATTTTGTAGCAATACTTTTTGACACACTCTCCTGAATATACATGGAGTTCTGGTGTGGCGCTGTGGGATAAAGCACTGGACTGCAAGGTCCGTTTGAACCACAAGGTTGGTGGTTCATATGCACCAGCTGCTGCTTGGAAACCCTATACAAGGTTGGTATAGGTGGAAACCAACTAGAAGGCACTTAACAACAACATCCGTACCAGGGCTCCTCGACTACATGGAGAGATGACATATAATAAAACTCTTATGTACCCCTATTATATATCACCTCTTTATGTCTCTGACTCCACAATTCAAACCTAAGTGCAAACATGATATTTCCTTCTTGCTTGAATTTTGTCTCTAGCTTTCATGCAAAACCATCTTGTCTTGAAGATAACAGGAATGAGCTATAATCCTGTTTAAGAATACATACAATTATGCATGCAATTTGTAAAATTATAAGCGTCTGCATGTTTCAATGTACGCAAAAATTGCAAGACTGCAAAATCATTAAATAACCCTCCCATTTGCATTAGAATTCTCCTATCCCAGTTGCAAGTGTCAGACCCAAACTGGTGAAAAGACAATGATTTACAGGTATTTAAGGAGCTCTGGTAGCGTAATGGTTATGAATCAGGTTACTAATCATAAGGCCAGCAGTTCGAAACTACCAGCTGTTCCACGAGAGAAAGATGAGGCTTTCTGCTCCCATAAAGATTTACAGCCTCGGAAACCCTATGTAGAGTCGCTATGGGTTGGAATCAACTCGACGGCACTTAACAACAATGACAACAACACTGAGTTCCTATTATGTATCTGTCATAGTTCTGAGGGAGCAGCCACCAGTGACATGACCTCAAAGCTCAGACTGTTTGACCTCATATGATGGCACGTCACATATAAATAGACACTGACACACTTACCCAAAGAATTCTGGAAACTCCTCATCCTTCTCAACATTTGACATCTGCCATCATGTGTCAACTGAAGCTCAGTTTTGTAACTAAGTGGTAGCTGTTTGTGTTTAATATTAAATGTTTACCAGCAAGTCTCTTACAAATACAAATTTTATTTCTTAAATATTTCTTCATTTAAGAAATTATCCATTCAAATATAGCCATTGATATGTATTATTTAGATTATACTATTAGCTAAAACAACTACAAGAGAGTAAAAATGAATATTCCTTAGCATGGCATGAAATGTAACAGCTGAAAACTCAGAGGTAACAAAACCTATGGTGGTGAGGTAAATTTGAACAGCTCACAGGAAAACACAATTAGGGAACCTGGTGTCTAGAAGTGACTGTTGCTTAAGGATCCCAACAAAACTTCATGCTGAAGGAGCAAACATTCTGACAGTGTAGCTGAAATGCCAGACGTGCTGCCGCTCTGATGCTTATCAGAGAACCACCAAGGAAAGGTCTATCTCTCCATGCTCCTCTGAGAAGACAGGGCTTTATGAATTAATAGTATCCCAGGATGCTTCCCTACAGTCCTGAGGGTTCTGTGCAGGGCAGAGATAATAGGTCTCACTTGTACCCTTGTTCTCCCTGTAGTGATGTGACAAGCTCAGCTACTGTTGTTCTTCTGAGAGAACATATGGTGATCTGGTTCCTGTCTATTGTTACTGAGGGCACCAGAAAGAAAGAAAAATATTTTTGTTATTTAAGGCAAGAATAGTTTAGTTCGGAATTTCCCCCTTAGTCGCTATGAGTCGGTTCCGACTCGATGGCACCTGACAACAACAAAAAAGGATGCACATATAAAAGTCAAATTCTTGGGACCACACGAATAATACAGATGTCCAGACACACTACCAGACATGGATAGGTTCAGGGATGTTTATTTTATTGCAATTCCCTAGTGTTCAAGAGAACCTTGACAAGTGTGTGCATCCATACCTGACTCTTGTCTGACAATGCAAGAGGATCTGGGTTTCTTTCTGGCTAGTGTGATTTGGTTTCCCAACGACCTTGAAGCTGGCAGGAGAATGAACTTGAAACCCAAGGTCTAAAATCATTAGATCATTTTAGATAGATGGGAGGTAGTGTGGGCATTTGTGTTAGATACTCCCTGGGGCTGGTTGTCATGCCTTTTGAGTCCTGCCCCCAGGAGATGATGCTCTGGGAAGCAGAGGGCTGGCTGTGGCTTTCACACCCCTTGGTATGGATGAGGATGGGTCCGTGTATTGGACCTCTCAGGGTAGGTATGGACTACTATCGTGGCATATACCTGGAGGAGAGCAGGATGCTGTCATCCACCTGGCATCTTAACTCTGTATCTAACTTGCCATTCCACTGTTACATCAACTTTGCAACTTCTGAGTGATTGAGTGTGTGTGGGACCAGTGGATCCCGTGGGCAGCTGCTTTCTTTGTTGTGAAGCTACTCTTCAAAGATGCATGTGCAGGAGACAAGTCTCTTAGCTTTCTTCTTTTCTGAGAAAGCTTTGATTGTTCGTCATTCCTGAAGGGTGTATGTTCTGTGCATATGCCTTGTTTTATAGCACTTCACAGATTAGTGCTTTTTTAAATTTTATTTTTACAAAGGGAAAGTTTGTGGCAACCCTCTGCCAAGCAAGCCACTGGCACCGTTTTTCCAATGGTGTGTCTTCACTCATGTCTGTGTGTCATATTTTGGTCATTCTCACAACATTTCTAACTTTTCATCATCCATTGCTCATCTTACTGTGTAATGTAACAGAAACTTTTATGTGCATTGAGACACCAAAGCAATTCTTGTGATTTGCTTTATTGTGATATTTGCTTCATTGCAGTGGTCTGGAACTGAACCCACAATAATTCTGAGATACACTGTGTATTATTGTTGACAGTTCTTGTTTTTCCACACTTGAAAACTATTGTACCACTTCCTTCTCACATCAATAGTTGCTGATGGAAAATCTACTGTCTTAGAATTGGCTTCCTTCATTGGTAAGATTAGAGTTTTTCTCTGGGTGCTTTCAAGATTTTTTCTTTGTATTTAGCTTTGTTGTTGTTGTTGTTAAGTGCTGTCGAGTCAGTATTTAGCTTAAAGAAGTTTAATTATGAAGTGTCTTGGCATGCATTTCTTTGGCTTCATCTTGTTTGGGTTCACTCTGATTCCTGTCTCTTCTCAGGGTTTGGGATTTCAGCCATTATTTCTTTCAGTACTTCAAAATTTTCTTTTCAATAGTAAAAGTGTTTATTATCAAGTGAATTGGGGAATAAAATGTGCTTTAAATACTACATCTTTGGAGGAGGATGACACACTTACACACAATTACAACTAAAGAGCTGGCATTTGTACACCTCAGCCATCTTTATTACACTCCTGTTATGCCATGGATTCATAGGGAATCAGTTCTAGCAGTTCAGGGTCCTATCCATTGGTTCTCACAAAGTGTGCCTCTCTGGGGGGAGCAGGCTGGTGCTTTAGCTGAACCCAGGTCCCTTTCTCTTTGGCTTCTTTCTTTTTCTGATCATTTTTCTTCACTTGCTTCAGGAAGCTGTCTCTGCTCTTAGAATGCTTAATATGCTCAATGTGCACATTAATCCTCTTGGCAAGAATCTTGCCCTTAACTTGCTTGTTCACAACAATGCCAATAGTATGCCAGGGCACATTGTAGACTCTTCTGGTTTTGCCGTGGTAATATTTATGGGGCATGCCTTTTTGAACTGTGCCCATTCCCTTGATGTCCACAATATTGTGTTTCTTGTAGATTGGCATGTATGTGGCCAAAGGAATGACCCCATGTTTTCTAAAAGGCCTGAAGAACATAGAGCAGGTGCCCCGTTTCTTTCCTTTTGTGTTTGTCACCTTTGGTGGATTACTGCAAGATGGCGGTTCTGGCTGAAAGAAAATTGTTTCAGCACTTTTTAAACCCCAACTTCTCTCTCCTCCCCTTCCAATATCCCAACCATAAAGATGTTAGATATTTCTTATACTCCTATAATGTTCTAGTCAGATTTTGGTGTCAGGATAATGTTAACATCCAAAATTAGCTGGGAATTACTACCTTTGTTTCTATTCTCTGAGCAAGTTTATGTGAGGTTGACTAGTATTATTTAGTAAACAAATGGTCCTGACATTTTCACTGTGGGAAAGTTTA